CAAGTAGAGAGTTATAAATGAGAGTTTCAAAGAGCAATCAGGGCTAGACATCAATTATTTGGAAGTCATCAGTATATACATGGTATTTCAAGTTTTGAAATAACCTAGGAAAAGACTATAAGATAGAGAAGTAGGCCTCGATTGAGGTCCAGGGCATTCCAATGTTTAGAAGTTAAACAGACCAACAGGACACTGAAAAGTATAAGATAAGGTAGAGAAAAAAGAAATGCAATCGGTGATCTGGATTAAATGCTTTTAAGAATTCAAGATTAGAACAAAGAAATGGCCATTGCATTTGGCAACATGGAAGTTATTTGACCTTGAGAAACTCTGTCTCTATGAAGCAGTGAAGCCAAAGCCTAACTGAAGTGATTAATAAGATATTTTCCAAAAGAAGGTGGAGTATTTATAAACAACTCTTTCAAGAAGTTTTATTGTAAAGTAGCTGGAGAGAGATGTGGGGTCAAGAGATATTTTGGCTTCATGTGTGTGTTTTTAGAGAAAGGAGGACAGAGCATATTTATATACTAACGAGAATGATCTGGTAGAAAGGAGAAAAGTGATTATGCAAGAGAGAATATAAAAAGGCCTTTAGAGGTAGAAGGGTTAGAATTTATAGCATAAGTGGGGAGTTTAGTTTCTGATAGAAGGTGCATAGAACTGCAGTTGAAGGGAAGGCAGAGTGCATAATATGCAAATAGTTTGGTAGATTTGTGGTCCAGAGGTAAGGATGTTACTATGTGAGTAGTTTTATTCTGCCAAGGGGAGATACGTCAATAAGGGGAGTAGGTAGGAAGGGAGTATAGGTTGGAGTAGAGGGATGTAAGTAGTTGGAAAGGGGGGAAGTATATATATACACATACACACACATATATATACATACATACATATATATATACATAAACATTATCAGTGAATATTTGTGTATATGTAATACATCATAGAAAAAAGATCTATTGTATAAAATATTTTAATGCCATTTCTACTAAATATTTTGAGATATCTTATTTGGAAGACCTGAGACTGAATTCTGTGCTTTCCAAGGACTCTGATAAGTTTTCTTTTCCATAACGTAGAAATGAAATGAGGACTTCTCAATGCCATAGATATTTCTCATGTTTTATTTATTTTTGTCTATTATAGAGTAAAAGACAAATACTTTTTAGCTATTCTAATTCAAAGCTTATGAAAATTAAAATTAGTTTAATCCCAGAAGTGTACTGTATACTCAAACTACAGTTTCTCAAAACACGATTTTGGAGGGTTTTAACTCATTTAATTTAAATTAAAAAGAAGACAATTAGGCTCTAATCATTTATTAAAACAATACATTTACTTTGTTTTCAAATGAAAAACTTCAATACCATGTCATTTAGGAAAAACAAATGGGTGATACGGTTTTTCTGTTTATTGTGCCCTCCCTATCCTATAGGAAAGATGTGTGATCTTTCCACTGTGCTTGGAGTTTATTTATCGATAGGCTGTATGTAATTTAATGTGTTGGAATTTATAGGTGCATACTTATTCTTTGGATTTATTGTAAAATTAGATTGTGAACAATGGAATAAGATTGCTCTCCAATTTTTTTGTTTTAACAAGGCCGAAAATATAGATATATATGTACATATAAATATGTATTTGATTAAATATTTAATATTTAAATAGTCATGTCAAATATTAAACGGTAGATGTTGACATCTGCATTGTATTCAAAATACTTATAAAAATCTCTGCAGCACAAATCCGAAAAAAATTTACTAATTTAATACTAAATAGTACATTTATACAAAATACCTATATAACATCTGTCTGGGTTGAGGCATTTAATCCCTCATAGAGCAATATATGACTAATAAAAAACTGCAGCTGAAAACCTTTTCCCTTCCTATAAGTGAATGAATATGATTTTTAAAATGTCTTTGTAACCTGTCATAAAGTTATTTATCATTAATTATGGATTTAGCACTGTACCCATCTACTCTTACAAAGAGGGGGAAAGATCTGTTTTAAGAATAAAGAAGTACAGCACTGTATAATTTTTTTCTTTAATCTTACACCATTTAGAGCTTCTATTTATGCCTTCCACGCAGGTTCCTTACACAGCCTATATTCTCTTTTCTGGTTGTATCACAATATTGTAGAGAGAGAAACACAGTAAAAGGGTGTTAACACTAGAACTACAATCCTACCTATTATGTATTTTACTATAAGTCAAGTAGTCCAGACTTACTTGAAGGTGGTATTGTTTTCATCCTATAAAAATCTACTGTAATATTATGATGTTCCATGTAAATTTTCATGTGCTGGCATGCTTACAAATTAATAGTGTTATAGAATGCTCAGTTTTCAATGAGGGATTGTGGTGTATTGCATTATATATATCATCTCTCTATTTGCTAAAGAATATGATGTTTAGCAAAACTACTTGCTGAGCAACATAATAAGATTTTTGTACAAAGTACAAATTATTAATTATTGTATTTTATTTTTCTATGATTTCCTAAGAGGCATTATCAGGGTCTTACAAATGAAGTAAGCCTGTTTATTAAAATATCTATTAGCAAATAAAAGTTACAGTTCTGGTGGTTGAATTAGTGACTTTTTTGTATTGTATTGATGCAAATTTAATATTAATTTTTAGTCTAGATACTTTTAGATACATTAGTAATTCTGGATACAAAATCATAGCTGTAATTTTTCAGATTACATACAAAAAAGATTTTATATGAGCAAAATATTTTGTGAGATTCAAGTAAATTGTTCATTGCCGAGATACTACTGTATACAAACTGCAGATGACCAAAAGATACACACTATGTCCAACTGCTCAAATAACTTTAGACCATCCACGTTTATTCCAAAAACATCCAATAAACTTGGGATTTCCTATATTATTTTAAAAATTTCTGGTAAGAAAATATATAAAAAGTAATCTGAATTTATCAGAATACTGCTATATTTATCATTTCACTTCTTTTACTATAGTTCCAAAAGCCAGTATGAAATTAAAACTGGTAATAAAGTACCTGAAATTTTCTTCCCTTACACAGGTATCTTAAGTAGCTTTCAGAAAATCACATACCATTTTAAAGCCTCTTATTTTCATTGTAAAATGAAGAGAGCCAAACTTCTTAAATCAAGTGGAACAGTTTTTATGCTGAGCCTTGAATGTACCTGAGAGATCTTTCAGTTGTCAAAGCACCAAAACAGCAGATTCAACCATAAGAAATATTTACTTTTCCTAAGGTTGGTATATTCAAAACTGGCATTTCCTAGGTTATTGAGTAGCTTGTGAGTTTTATAATCACTACTCATCTCTAGTAATTATAAGCCATCACATCAACTACACTAAGATAACTATTTTCTTAGCTAATTTTTTTTTCAGTAAAAGCATTACATCTGCCTAAATGTACTGAAAAGTTAAATATCCAATCTTTCCATTATATTTTCATTTTTCACCAAATGTTTTGTACTAACCAAGCAGAAAATTACCAGCTCCAATCAGGAAAAATCAAGTCTGTCCACTAAAATTTTCTGAAACATAAAAATTTTGCCTACCTCTAAGAAAAAAGTCAAATTATAGCTTTAAATTTGCTTCCGTCTCTTATCAAAGTGAGTCACAATGCCCAGACACACAGAAAAGCAGTCAACAGCTCCCTGTAAATACATTCATATTTAAAAACAATCATATTTAAAAATCTTATTCGTATTACAAAAATTTCAGTACAAAAGAAGACAAGAAATTATTTATTGAACACCTACTATATGCCCAACATTTATACTTCTATTATCTATTCCTCAAAACCACCAGATGAGATAGTGTCTTTTTGAAGGTGAGAAAGCTGAAGCATTATGGAGGGCTAACTGACCTAAGGCCACACAATAAGAATCTATTTCCATAATCCATTATTAAGAAGATGTATAAGTCAGTTATTTTGGAGTTGCAACTAGAGAGTTTTTTGTTAGCTTTTGCTTTTCAAGTCACTAGCTCCGAACCACATTTTTTTTCATTGTAAAAATAACATAACATTTGAAAATTTGGAAAAGTAACAAAAGCAAAAGCACCCCATAATCATACACATACAATCTTTCATTTCATCATTACTTTTATATAATTCCTTCTAGTCTTTTTTTCACCCTTATTTAATAGATTAAATTAATTACTAGGCTAAAGAACAAGATAGGGTAGTAAACATAACACTAGGTAGTTGGAGGGGGCATAAATCCTATACTCAAGGTAAAGAAAGTAAATGAGAGAACGGTTAAATCTGAAGAACGGTTAAATCATGAACACTATTCATTGCGGGGTGAAGTTGGTGGGGTTAGGCAGTTTAAAGGTTGATCAAAAAAAGGCCTAGATATCTAAAATTATTGCATCTGTAGTCTCTCCGTTGGAAAAAATTCTAACAATAATGTGGAGAAAACGTGTACACAAAACATTTTCAATTGGAGGATCATCTGTTAATATAAAATCCCAGAGCAGTTTAAGAAGGTGGCTAACTTCAAGCATTCAAACTATTAATTTCTTTTCTGACCACATTCCGATTTGATTTTGGCGACTGTCATCTAATCAGAGATTATGACTCGTGGAAATCTCTTCGGGAGATGAGACAGCTGAGGAGCCAGGATACAAGGCTCATGCTTTTTGCCGAACAGCGCCTTTCAAATTATCTTATCTCCCTACCTACATTAACAGCTTTACTTCGCCAGGACTCCAAGGTCTGAGGCCTATTAGAGCCCAGAAGAGAGTCAGAGTGATGTGCGGCAGAGCAACTCTGGCGCACATCTCGCCCCAGCGGGCACGGTCGTGTCCCACAGTCGTTGCCACCACGCTGCGCCCATACTCCGCAACGACGCAAACACTCCTCAGCGCTCTGGGCTCCACCCAGAAGTCCAGCCCCTAGGAGCTGAAATTGCAGAGAGGCTGGGGAGGACTACAGCCGAGAAACACGCCTCAACAAGGGCGGGCGCCAAAGGGTTCCCAGCAGGCTGTGCGCACGCCTACAAGTCCCATCATGCTCCTCCGTGGGCTGAGCGACTCCCCGCGGGAAGGCGGCTGTTCGCCACGCCACCCGTGCTCACAGCTTCTTTAGTACTCCTCCGTGTGCCTCTGGCATTTTCGGGGGCTCTTCAATCCGATAAGCAAGGGTACGGCGGCTGGATAGCTATGACCTCGGAGGAAGCGTGGCTTCGGGACCGGAAGAACCTCCGGTTGCCAGGGCAACGCCGCGCGCCCAAGTCCCTGCCCAGTTACTGATGCTCTGGCTGAGGCAGAGGCTATCTGTTTACCCAACTTGTGGACTCTGCTTTTGTTCAGGACCAGTGATCCTTCCTCTCGAGGTGTAGAGAGGAAAGCTGAGAGACGCCTGCACCAGGTTTCTATCCCAGAGACGGATACGGGCGAGTGCGTTCAGTCCTATTCCTCACCAGCTTCTGGGCCCGCACAACTAACCTCAAAGACCAGGTATTTTCCCACTTACAATTTTTGTAGCAGAGGCGCCCTCACTCTCCCCCGTTGCCCCCAGAATTGCTCTTTGCTCTTTTCCATATTTTTCACTGTGTAGTTTCTAATGTGTGAGAAGTGGAAAAGGAGAGGTAGGCTTATGCGGTGAGTACTAGAAACCCCAGAAAACTTATTGAATTGGCTTAACCAAATTGGTTGGTTGGTTGGTTGATTTTAACGCTGGTTTTAAATTTAACACTACCCAATTTGGGTGGTTTTATTTGGTATGTAGGCAGTGTGATTGAAATTTCATTATCAAAAACTGAAAGCCGAATAAAAATGTTTATTTGGGGTAGTAAAAATATGCTATAATTCACTCTAGAAATATTTTTAAAGTTTACGTTATTTTCTCTGCCCACCCCCTATCTCTGCAACTTACCTTCCAAGTTCTTAACTGTAAATGACATCCCAATTCTTCAGGACTTTTCTGGTAATAAGTAATCCTTTAGAAAGCAGTTTCTCACATAACAGCCAAGAGAATTTGATTGGCTGGTATGCAAAGAGTAGAAACAATAAGACAAACTAGAAAGGTAGATTGGCGCCAGATTGTAAACAACCTTAAAGCTACGTGTAAGTTTGGACTTAATTCTGAAAGCCAGTAGTGACTGTACATCAGAAACACTGTGGAGGTTTTTACAATGCAGATGCCCTGAACCCGTCTTCAGAACTACTAAACCAATCGTTCATTTCATTGTGCAACTAGTGTTGAGAATAATGGCCAAAGGAGTAGGAAGCTACAGAAAACTTTAATTGTGTCTCCCACTGTTCACTTAGGACATGATAAATAAACATTGAATGTCTTGAATTATCTATTTCCTTCTTCCATGCATGCAAAGGTAAACTTATGGAAGTGTGTAATTACTAAGAAATAGAAGCATATGTAAGGCTGTATGATAGTTGTTTATAAAACAACTTCAATAAATATATTTACATCTTTTAGAACCGACTTCTCTTTTAAATTATATGTCCCAGAATATTTCAGTAACAAGCATCGAGTGTTCGATAATCCATGAAAAAGGAATAGAAAATCACAGTCCAAGTTTCTATGAAAATGAATATTTAAGTATCAAGCTTTTGACAATTGATGTTTTATAATAGATTGCCAGAGGGGGATGATGTGAGAAATGGTCATGGTTTTAAAATCTGTTCAAAATTGTATGGAAAATGGAAAACTATATGTAAGTCTTTATATTATGTTTAGTACAGTAAATAAGAAAGTAAAATTTACTTTGAATTAAAATTGTGTGGATTGTTTTATAATATCAGAAGGCTACATTAGATTCTACAAGTGCATATCCTTAAGCCTAGCTATAAAGGAATGGATTATGAGTGATATTTGAATCTCCAAATAATGAGAAAAGTTGATTCAAGTGGGTCCAATGGAGTACACCTGACATCAAACCTATTCCTTGGGTAAGACAACTGTGGCTCTGTTATAGGCCCCATGCTTGGATGGTCACTGCACCTTTTTTTTTTCCTGCACATCATTAGAATTCAGTTTTGAAACTTCTATCCATAAAGCAAAATTTACAATGCATCCTTCTTTCAGATGCAGTTGTCTTGGAAGCCTCTTATTGTTTAAGTTGCTGCAGCCTCACATCCTTCAAGGTATGGCCTTGTCTAGGATGGTGCGAGATAAAAAAATACTGAAAGATCCATAAGAAGACAAGGTTCTGGAACTTTAGATGGTGATGAGAATAAATCAAATAAATGAAGTTAATATTTAGAGAACTTTGAAAATGATGGTCCAAGGAGTGATAAGCAATATTTGGAACAGGTTTATTGTAGTTACTGCTGTAGCAGTCCTTGTAGCAGTTGAGGGCTGGTAAAGTGGTATCTTCTCCCACCACATAATATTTTGGTAGGTAATGGACCCAAAGGGAACACCTTTGGAAAGTTTCATTTGGAAACGTGACTTCTAAATTTGACAGTACCTTGGAAAGATATGACTAGCCGTAAAGTTATCACTTAGCAAGCAATAAATATGTCATTGGCAATTTTATGACTTCAGAATACTTCTATATGGATTGCTGATGACATTTTTTTTTAAGTTTGCATTGGAAGAATTTTTTTCTAACGAAAGAATTGATGAACAAACAAATGAACTCTTCAGGCATGAGTTAACAAACTTTTACAATATTTGAGAAAACGAGATTAAAATCTAAGGTTGATATTTACTTTCTTATTTTTTACTAGGTACTAAGATTCTTTTAAAATAATATTTAACAGGTTATTCAGATAAATTACAGTTTAAGAAAAATATTAAGGTGTAATGAAATTGCGTGTGTGTGTATTTTGCACATCACCTTCTCCCCAAATGAATTTGTAGTGACTTAAGAAGCATATATGTAAGGACTAAGAAAAAATTAAGATAAATGTATTGGAATTCTGTATTCCTATGGATAGAAAATGCAACTAAACTGGATTTAATCACGCAAACACAAAAACAGTGCATTTAATATTTATTATTGCAAAATACAACAATGGGGCTAGCTTCAGAAAAAGATTTAACCAGTGGCTCAAATGATATAACAAAAATCTCACAGTTTTTCTCTCTTTTTCTGATCTGCCTTCTACTTTCTAAACTTCAGCCTTAGGTTTTATATAAACCCCATTACCCATACATTGTTCCAGATTTCCAGAAGAGGCTGCAGATATTTTCAAGTATCACAAACAACAGACTCCACATGATACTAAGTTTAACCACATTTTCTTCTTAAATTTATAAAATTACAGTGAGATATGTACAGTTATTTCAAGGGCATTATTCTTTGTTGCCAGGGGTTATAAGCTGCCAATCTGCATTTCATTTAAGGCTCCTTCCTGGTAATCAGCTTATACTGTGTTTACTAAATGCAAAGCTATGTTGACATGGTTTTCACATCATTGTGTCTTTATATTATTAAATTTTTTGATATACATGCTTTCATATTTCCCATTCTTATGGTGCCTGTGGGTAATATAGCTTTCTTTTTTTTCTGACTTGCAGCTGGTTTGTAAATATTTGAATCACATTATGGGATTGCTAGACAGACTTTCAGGCTTGCTTGGCTTGAAGAAGAAGGAGGTTCATGTTTTGTGCCTTGGGCTGGATAATAGTGGCAAAACAACAATCATTAACAAACTTAAACCTTCAAATGTAAGTATCTTCGTTAGATGCTATATGTCGTTTCTGCTAGAGAGAGTTAATATGCAGAATTATTTTGTTTGCCGTTATACCTTCATATAATCACGTTATGAAATTCTGTTAACTTTATACTACCTTAAAGGAAAAAGTACCTGTCAGCATTATTTGCAGTGTATTTTATGCAGGTATATAGGTAAATCTTGATTATTTAAACTGAAATATTTTCCAAATATCTTTTTTTTCCTAAAAAGATCTTTGCAAATTTGCTGAGTTTACTTTCAGGTAGCATTGTCTTTTTTTTTTTTTTTTTTTGGCTCTCTTTTTAGAGAAGGAGCAAAACAAAGGGAAAGGTGAGTCATTTTTATAAGTTCTGTGGATAATTAGACAGTTTCCCTAGAGTATTGCCTATGCATATCAGTAGTAGTAAGCAAGATGACTTTAGGTCATTTAAGTAATAAGTACATTAACATATTATTCTAATAACTGAAAAATGTATAAAGTTAACACATTAAACACCACATAAAGTATAAGTTAAAACTAGGTTCTGCTACATATAAAGAAAACCCACATAACAATGGACATAGCAATAAATAACAAAATAAAGTAGGGACTTCTTTTCCTATCCTCTAAGTCCAGAGGAAGTATTCCAGGGCTGGTGTGGCAGCTACGTGGTCTCAAGAGATCCACGCATTTTTCCATCGTTCTGCACTGCTGTCCTTAATACCTGGTTTTCATCCTCAAGATCTCTTCACGGTCACTTTGGTTAACTGTATGTCTATAGTCTAAGTTACAGGGAGGAGAAAGAAACAGGGCAAAAGAATAGTCCTTGCTAAATACTCCCTCTTTAAAGAACTTACCCAGAAGACCCAACTAATACTCTTGCTTGCATTTCACTGGCTACCTTTATGTGTGAATGAGGCTGGATTTTTTTTTTTTTAAAAGCAGGGCATATTACCGCTTTCAAAAATAATAGGGGTCCTATAAGTATAGAAGAAGGGGAAAACTATATGGGGTAGGCGATTAATATTTACAGTTGTAAATACATTTATTTAGATAAAAACTATTAGACAATTAATAAAATATGTTTAGTAAAAGATAATATGGTCTGCACAGATAGGGTAAAAAGTAAGAAGCTGTTACTCTTAATGACTGAATGCCTGGACAGTGGAAAGCATTGCTCCTAAATATGGTAATTAAAGGTGGACTTCATTGCCTCTAAACAGTGCTTCAAGTTGAGCAGAATGAGAAGCCTTACTGCTCCATTTTCTTTTGAGACAGCTTTGGTTTTACTTTTGTTTAGTTGGAGATTGCTTCGGAATCACAGAAATGCCATTTCTTTTCTTCAGTCATTATTCCCTTTTTGTACATGGATTAGATTACCATGTAAAAACAAATAACTGCTGGTGTATTTTCAGATGAGAGTTAGTTTAAGACAGCTGATATAAGCTGAAAATGGATTTGGAAGGCAATTTAGGTGTTATAAGGGGGGTCCCCATCTGAGTTGGGAATCAGTTGAGATATACTTGCTGAAGTCAGGCTATATTGAAAAGATTGATTTTGGAGGATGAGGTTTAGGTCTGGCCGGAGGTCTTGCTAACACTCTTGAATTGAGATTAGCCTCCCAGAATTTCAAAGTTTCCTCCTCAGCGAAAGAGCCAGCTCTTTTAGGTTTCCTGCATAGCTAAGAACAGATGAGAATGCATGCTTGAGATAAGCATATGGCTTTCAACTGAGAGAGAGAGAGAGAGAGAGAGAGAGAGAGAGAGAGAGAGAGAGAGAGAGAGAGAAGCAGAACTAAAGATATTCAGTTCCATTTCACAACTGAGCAGTTAAAGAAGTAATTTTTTTCCCCCATGAAGAGTAATAAATCGGGAGAGGAGAGATAGAGAAACTGGGAGTTTAATTTTAATGGAGTTTTCTCTATGTGGAAACAGGAGAAAAGAGATTCCTCCCCAATAAGGAAAAGAACAGGTTAAAAAGTTGACCCACATTAGAATCTGCCTCCTGACCTACGTGATTACAAAAAATTTCTTTATCAGTTCTTAAGAAGTAGCATCCTATCCAATTGGATAGGGTCTAGAATTGAATTTAGAGAACATTGGGTGTGTGATAAAAGTAGAACCATACCCATCTGTGCCTCAAAAGGTGTGTGTGTGTGTGTGTGTGAGAGAGAGAGAGAGAGAGAGAAATAGGCCTCAAGTACAAAATAATTGAAACCAGAGCCACAGTTAATAGCCCCAAATGGACCAACCGTTTCTCTGCCTATTATACTCAAATTGGGAGAAATAACATCCAAAGAACAAAATAGAAATGATAGTCTCTTCTCCAGTCATCCCCAGGAGTCTAGTGACCTTCTGTCCCCTGGCATGGTTATTAACATAGGAATAATATTTAATATGGATGGGAACAGCTTTCTTTTCTAAACAGTATTGGTCTTTTGAAGACACTTGCTCTTACAGATTTTTTTTTTCATAATTTCTTCTGTCATTTCTAGAGATCTGGGGTAGAAGAGGAAGGAGGCATCATGTTTGTCATCTTAAAATATTCTAATATCCTCATTTCAGACTGGTCTTGTGAAAGACCTTCTGACCCTAACACATTACATTAGTCACAGAGAGCCTCCAGGAAAGCGTGGGTACACAGTCAATAACTGAACCTCTTTAATTAATCTTCTATTGCTTTCCAACATCTCTGTCTCTCTGTTACCTCTGGTGAATTATGGAACTAGCATAGACTAGCTCCAGGACTATTTTAAGAGGATCACCTAATTTCTGACACTACTTCCGAGCCTTAATCTTTAGGCAACTATGCTTTCTCCTCAGAAATGATTGACCTAGTCTAGATCCTGAATACACACTAAGTTGCTTTGCTTTTTTTTTTTTTAACTTGATAATAATAGCCAAGAAACCACTTGAATGAAACTTTATTTAAAGACCCCAAAACCTGTCACTCAGATATAGATACAACACTTGCTTCCTCCTTACCTTTGAACTCAGTAGCCTCTTGTGAGCTTACATTCACTGTTAAAAACTTTATTTTTCATGAATAAGTGAATTATAGAAATCTACAGTGCTCTACTAGAAATGTCTTGCGAAAAAAATTGCAAATCTCATTTTATAGTAGTCTCTTATTTTTTGTGGATAAAATCAGTTTTTAGGTAGCTAGGTACTTCCTGGACCCAAAATGGTTTCTAGTATTAAGCTGTCCTAATGTTTATTTATTATATACATATTGAGGTTGCTGGTGTTTTCTAAACTGATACATGGTGGGGGCAGGGGTAGGGACGGGAGCATTTTAACTTGATCACTCTTTTCAAGAATCTGGTCTTAGCTGTCATTTTCTTAGAGATGTACTAATAAACACCTTTCTTTTAAAATTCCCATTTTTTTCCCCATTCCCCAACATTAATACTATAATTCTGTCACATCATCCAGTTTTATATTCTTTTCATTTAAAACACTCTGAAATTATCTTGCATATTCAGTTAGTAACATTAAATTTTTCTTCCTTATAAATTTAAATTCCATAAGAGCATAGATCTTTTATTGTTCAACACTGAATCCCAAATACCTAGACTATTGCTTGCTACTTAAATACATTTTTGGACAAATGGATTGATGGATGATTTTTTATTTTCATTTTTGGGCAGGGAATGATGATTAATTTTATCACTATTAGGTAAAACAGCAAATTAAAGGGGAGCATCTCTGGAAACAAAGAGTTTGTGAAGAAGGTGGGTGATTATGGAGAGGCTAGATGAATGTTTTAATTATAATTCATTGAATACAAGGCTACTATTTTCTGAGATTTCTTAAATTTTTACTTCCCTTTCTATTGTATGTTTTTTCTTATAATAGCTGATAAATTTTATCACAAGACTGGCACATGAAAACCCTTAAAACAGTGAGGTATTGAGGACAATAAAATTAGGAAACTCTTTAGTCCAAAGTTCATTGTGCAGTAAAGGAACCCTAAGATATGAAGTGGGAATCTGAATAGCAGGAAATAAATTCTAACATAAACAAAAAGATATTTTTAGAAGAATACTAGGCAGTTCATAACATGGAAGGAAAAGCTGAATAAACAAACTTCAGAAACGTAAAATCAGGGCAGCCATCGGAATACCTTTTCACTAGCACATTACTAGCAAGGTGACCAAGCGCCAGTGACTTCAGCTTCTCTTTCTATTTGAATTGTAAATTTCTAGAAGTAGGCTAGCAAAGTGAACATGATGTGAGTTCGCTTTACTCCTATTTTCATATGAAAGCAACAAGATAAACTTAAGGGGAATTTTTTTGAAGTTATTCTTGTGGGACTATGAAGAAAATGGGGATGAGAATAGAATCAATGAGTATAATTATAATAACAAACATTAATTGAGTATTTACTATGGACTAGACACTGTTGAGTATTTTATTTACATCCATTAACTCATTTAATTCTTATGATAACTTTATGAGTTAAGGATAATAATATATTTCACATTTGAGAAAATTAAGGCTTAGAGAAGTTTAGTAACTTGTCTAAGGTAGCATATTAACAATTAGGGGTAATTAGGAGTAATTAGAAGGCTGTTACAGTAATTCAGAGTGATAATCAATAAGGCCCTGACCTAAGTTAGATAGAACCGATAAAACTTAGGATATGGTCATGTAGAGAATGTTAAAAAGGAAGGAGTCAAGAATAACTGCTAGGCATCTGGATCAGAAAGTGGATGATTTTTATTCAAAAGGAAGAACAGTTTTGATGGCAGGCATGTTAGGTGATACCTTGTTTAGTAGTCATATAAGGCATTTTATTTGCCTGTGGGACTTGTCAGCTGGTCTCTGCTGTATCCTTGCCCATTTGAAATCTCTTATCCACAAAGAATTTGCCATCATGACCTCCAAGGCCCTACCTCCCTTACTTTGTTACATATGCCTCTTTCCTTTATGCAATATACTTTAGACATAAAGGCCTTCTACTTCTCCCAAGTGGTAAGTTTCTTCCTGTCTTAGGGTCATTGCATTGGCTAACTCACTTGACTGGGATGTTCTTTGCCAAGATCTTATCATAGCTTTCCCCCTTCTTGATATTCATTCTTGTCACCTCCCCAGCAAAGCTTTTCCTGAGCATCCTTCTTCCATGCCTCTTACCAACCCTCCCCTGCCCTGTTGCCTCCCACTTCCAGTCACCTTTCAATGTACATATCACTGCCTGAAAATGTGTTCATTTGAAACTTAGTTTATTGCTGTTTACCCCTGTAGATTATAAATTATAAGGGCAGGGACCATGTATATTCACCATCTACACATGAGACCAGTTCCCCGTAGCATATATTAACTCAGTAAGTATGTATTGAAAGATTAGAAAGTCCTATATGTGAACTCAGGATGGTTTCATGGTAACTTGCAGCAAGTCACACAGTGTGAATTAATACGTACATGTAATACAAATTCATAATTAGTAAACCTTAAACTACTATAAAGAATTTACACACAATGATCCCTTTGCAAAAATTATAATTTTGTCTAATCACGTTGTTTCCTTGGTGGCAGATTTTAGAATTGGAAAATCTGGATGCTTTTTTTTTTTTAACCTGAGGGAAAAAATTCACCTTTGGTAATTGCAAATTTCTAAACTTTGTCTTTTCTCTTAAAGGCTCAATCTCAAGATATAGTTCCAACGATAGGATTCAGCATAGAGAAATTCAAATCATCCAGGTAATTCACTTTATTATACTTGTGACTAAGAAGTTATAGGCAAAAAATGGTATTAGATCTACCAAGTCATTCCTCTTACTCTTAGAAAAAGTAATTTGTTGTTTCAGAAGCTCATAGATGTTAAAATATTTGTACTACTACCTCTGGATTATTTTTCAAAATTTAGAGTTTAGACAAACTCTGATAACTTCACTAGCAAAGGAAACATCTTTTTTATGTTACTCATTGCAAAATCATATTTATATTCAATAAATTTATGGCATTTTTACTTGAAAATTGGCCCAAGTTGAATATTGTATATTCAGATTGGTTTCTTTGATTGAAAATAATTTAAAATTTAAAGTGAAAGTTATACTTTAAAGTTAGTAACTTATAATGTAGTCATGGTTTTTTTTGTTTGTTTGTTTTTGTAGTTTGTCTTTTACAGTGTTCGACATGTCTGGTCAAGGAAGATACAGAAATCTCTGGGAACACTATTATAAGTAAGTTTATTTGTGAATTTTGGTTAACTAGTTGAGTATATTTTAATAACAAATAATTATTAGAAATTCAAATGATCACAGGCTAGGTTGCAATGTTTACTCTTCATGTAATTTAGGTACATTTACTAATTTTTAAAAAATGTGCAGTCATACTTCACATTATTTCTTAAATGCATGAAATTCTTTATAAACTTTGGCCTTCGTGTATACTGTTTGCTCTGTTTTTAACGCCCTGTTCTTTTCTTCTTCTCTGCAGCTTAAGGTTAATATATTCCTGCTATCAGGACTAGCCCAAAAGTCACCTCCTCTGTGAAATTTCATTGTTTTGCCCAGTTATCCTGTCCCATGTTCACAATACTTTCGCATCTCTAATTATACTTATTATGTCTTAAATTCATGTACCATAGCTGCCTCCCTAATGGGATTGTGAATTCCTCTTCAAGGGCAGGAATTATTTCTCATTCAGATTATTTCTTCATAGCCAAGTATGATGCTGGGCATATAGATCTGTAAATACTTACTGAATAAATTTAGTTAAAAAAACAGTACTGTAACAGTTGATGCATTTGTTCCACAAGCAGGTCTAAACAAGATATTTTTCAGCAAATGCAAATCCAGGGCTTGATAATTATATTAGATTAACAGCTGTCAAGTTAAGGATCCAAATGTGTTACACCCTCTCAAGACTTATACACAGTGTTAAAATGAATTCATTAACTTCTAATATTGTTAGAATGCCTTTATTTAAGGGCAGTGTAACTCACTTTTTGGAGTCCGAAACTTATAAACAATATCCCTTTACTAAATTCCCTTTTGTCCTTATGAACTCTTCCTTTGAAATGGTATGTGATGACTGCCAGATCAGATTTTGATTTTGATTGATTCTTTCCTGCTAACATGGGAACAAACACTATTCCTCAGACATGAACCAGGAAGATTTATTCTAGATATTATTCTCAATGAGTACTTTAATAGATTGAAGGCCTAGTTAAATCCTAGAGATCCAGAGGACCTATGAGAGAGAGAGAAACGAGTGCTTCAGATCTGAGGGTCAGTTTGGAAAAGGAAAAGTGGCATGTCTGTAGTATCTTGCATTAATTTTCCTGGGGTAATGTGAGTTGTTGTTTTATTTTGTTTTTTAAGAAAACCTGAGTTTTCAGTATAGGAATCTATAAATTATTACTATAATTAGTTGGTAAAAAAAATCCTTTTATGAAAAAATGTATTTATATTAGCTACTTTTTAAAAAATATCATAATTACAAGGAATAAAAATACATAGAACTAGTACTTTGAGAAAAGAAAATAGTTTTTCTGATTTTGACTCCTTTCTCTTGAAAGTTTTTGGAATAAGTTACTGAATACAGGAATATTATAAATAAATTGTAGGTTGAATGGGGAATATGGTTTGAGGAGTCTAAAGTAATAGTAAATTTATTTATTGTATCTCTATACTTTTCTGATTATTAAAGATCAAGCATATTTTAAATCTATAAGACTGAAAGATTAAAAAGATTAATTGGAATATGAGTCAGTCTTGTAGTAGGAATTTAACACCTTTTTCAGGATAGTTTATCAATATCTATTAAAATGAAACACGTTCATGCCTTCCAGCTATCATATTTGCTTTTTGAAATGTATCCTATGACTTGGACTAGTCAGAGTAAAAAACATACTTAGAAAGATGTGTTGAACATTATTTATAATGACATTTTTTTCATATTGCAATTATATAAAGAAAAATATTATTCTTAATAAAAATATGTGCTTAGTATATATACAGAGAAGAAACTTGTTAGCGGAATATGCACCAAACCATTAATAGCATTTGTTTTTGGAATAATAAGGTTATAAGGGAAATTTACTTTGTAATTTACATGATTCTATAATGTTAATTATTATGTAATTTTTGCTTATTACTCTTACAATACAAAAAGTTATAAAGTATAAAATATACAGAATGTAAATTTATTAATGTTTTAAAATACAAAAGATTTTTAAAATGTTTTCCATAAATGTCACTCCTAATTTACCATTGTTAATCTTTTTCATGTTTCTTGCCTTTCGAAATATATAATGTACGCTTTACATAATTGAGAAAGGCTCCTTCTAAATTTGTACTATATATAGTTTTTTATCTTGCTTTTTCAGTTAAAATTCTATAAGGGAAAATCAGGAAAAAAGATACAAAGAATATAACTAATAGCTGCCGAACGTTTTTCATATGCCTATGCCAAAATTTGCTTAATCATTTCTCTGTTTTTGAATATGAAGGCTATTCTCAGTTCTTGAAAAGTATAAACTGCATACTTGAAAAGTATAAGCTGCATAAATCTTTGTCACAGTTCATGTTTCCTTAGAAAAAATACCAGAAATAAAATTACTCTCTCAAAGTGTTTGAATATTTTTAAAGCTCTTGATAGATATTTTCAATTGTACCAGTCTCTGTATCCACTAGTAATATATGACTATGATAATCTGAATTCATTTTTTTAAATAATAGGAGAAAATGTTATTAAAAAATTGTTTCATATTTACGTCATTACTAATGACATTAAACTTTAAAATATTAATTTATGACTGGAGTGAGTCACAAAAAAGTATAAATGTTCAATAAGTATATGAAAAGATAATGAATTTCACTAGCAATTAATGAAATAAAAAGTAAAATAATACACTGTTAGAATGACAAAATATGAAAAGAATGGTAAGAACCATGCTGGTGAAGGAAGTAGGAATAATGCTAATAGTAGTAGTATAAATTGATAAAGCATTTCTGGAGGATAAACAATTTATCAATGTTTATCTAAAACTTTAAATTTTATATATATTCCTAGAAATTTTATTCCTAGGAACAGATCCTAAAGTTTCAAGAAATTTAAAAAATGTATTCAGGAGGATGTTTAAAGTTTCTCATAATAAAGAAAATTGGAAATAACCTATAAGCCCAACCGTAAATGTTTGACACAGTATTTGATGACAGATCCATGAGTAGAATACTTTATAACCATTAAAAAGGAAGGGTGTAGAGGTAATCAGTGATTTTTCAAGTGCTGCTGTGATCTATAAATGAATCCTTAAACTAGGTCAGTGGCTGGCTATCAGAAAAAAATAGAATAAAATAAAAGCTATTTGTAAGTATTGTTTCAGGGGATTTATTTCAAATATATTTACATATATATCGCATCTTAATGTAAAATGTATGTCTCAACTATGGTTATGGTAAAAACAATATTTGAGAAACATTAGTGTAGAGCTTTAATGTTTCATATAAAGTAGTTCAGACTATACTCCAAAGAAGATCAAGGAAATGTATGTACATATCAGGAAGGCAGAGTATAAAACACGATTCCATATGTACAAGCGTAGATACTTGTATGAATACATAAAACATCAAAATTAATTATACAAAAATATTAATAATGATATGTCTGTGTAATAGGGTTATGATTTTACTTATAATTTTTTAAAATTATGAAATAACAAGTCATTAAATTTACCCTGTTATCTAAGTGGAGAGAAATTATTTCACATGAAATATCACTAATGGTTAATATTTTAATCACTCATGTGAACTATTAAGAAACAGCATTATAATGATAAATTATAATGATAATTTAAGCCTATAATGATAAATGGACATAGAACATGAAGAGATAATACACAGATTAGGACATTCACATGGGTAGTAAACATCAAAAACATATGTTTGAATTTTTCTCATTCTTTATTAAACAGAGAAGGACAAGCCATTATTTTTGTCATTGATAGCAGTGATAGATTAAGAATGGTTGTGGCCAAAGAAGAACTGGATACTCTTCTGAATCATCCAGGTCTGTGTATGTGTCTGTCAGTCTGTGATATCTGTGCTTTGGGGTCTGTTTACATATGATGTTTTGTTCTTTGGTGCTGGGAAAAAGCGGTGTTTGCACTATGTAATTATCTTTAACTTAAAATTTAAAAATTTTAAAACAGTTGTGCAGAACTCATAATATCTTTACCTGTAGCACCATATATTTTGTAATAACTTTATTTTTATTTACAGTTGACATGCAATATTATATTAGTTTCAGGTGTACAACATAGTGATTCGACATTTATATAACTTACAAAGTGATCACCCCCAGAAATCCAGTACCCATCTGACACCATATGTAGTTATTACAATATTATTGACTATATTCTCTCTGCTGTACTTTACATGCCCATGACTATTCTATAACTGCCAGTTTGTACTTCTTAATCCCCTTCCCCATTTTTTACTCATCACCCCAACCCCCTCCCATCTGGCAACCATCCAAATATCCTCTGTATCTTTGAATTTCTTTATTTTGTTCATTTACTTTGTTTTGTTTTGTTTTGTTTTTTGATTCCACATGTAAATGAAATCATATGGCATATTTTTCTCTGATTTACTCCACTCAGCACAATACCCTCTGGGTCTATCCATGTTGTTGCACATGGCAAGTTTTCATTCTTTTCTAAACTGAGTAATATTCTGTTACACATACATACCATCTCCTCTTTATCCATTCATCCATTGATGGACACTCAGGTTGCCTCCATATCTTGCCTATTTTAAACAGTGCTGCAATGAACATACGGACACACATGTCCCTTTGAAGTAGTGTTTTGGGTTTCTTTGGATAAATACTCAGAAGTGAGATTACTGGGTCCTTCTTCATTTCTTGTTTTAAAGTCTATTTTGTCTGGTATATATGTTGCTACCCCGGCATTTTTTTCATTCCTATTTGCATGAAATATCTTTTTTCATCCATTTACTTTTAGTCTGTGTGTGTCGTTTCATTGAAGTGAGTCTCTTGTAGGCAGCATATGTAAGGGTCTTGTTTTCTTATTCAGTTGTTCGTAGATATGTAGTTATTGTCATTTTAGCTACATTTTTTTTTAATCTTTTTTCCTTTATCATCTTCTTAAAGAAATCCCTTTAACATTTCTTGTAATACTGGTTTGATGTTGATAAACTCCTCTAGCTTGTCTGGGGAGCTCTATCTGTCCTTTGATTCTAAATGATAACTTTTTCTCAGTACAGTAATCTTGGTTGTAGGTCCTTGCTATTCATCACTGAGTATTTTGTGTCAATTCCTTCTGGCCTACGAAGTTTCTGTTGAGAAATCAGCTGACAGTTTTATGGGAGCTCCCTTGTAGGTAACTACTTTTCTCTTGCTTTTGATATTTTTTCTTTACCTTTAACCTTTGGCATTTTAATTATGAGGCCTCTTGGTGTGGGCCTCTGAGTTCTTGTTTAGGATTCTTCACTTTCTGGGCTTGTATGTCTATTTCCTTCACCAGATTAGGGAAGTTTTCAGTCATTATTTTTTCAAATAGGTTTTCAATTTCCCACTGTCTCTCTTCTTCTTCTGGTTCTCCTATGATGCGAATGTTGGTACGCTTGATGTTGTCCCAGAAGTCCCTTAAACTATCTTCATTTTGGAGTATTCTTTTTTCTCATTGCTGCTCTGATTGGGTGTTTTCTGCTACTTTATCTTCCAAATCTCTGATATAGTCTTCTACTTTAATCTACTATTGAATCCCTCTAAGATATTCTCTATTTTAATTGTATTCTTTATTTCTGACTAATTCTTTTTTATGATTTCTACCTCCACTTTTATATTTTTCTTGGAGTTCTCATTGAGAGCACTGAGCATCCTTATAACCAGTGTTTTGAACTCTGCATCTGATAACCTGCTTGTCTCCATTTTGTTTAGTTCTTTTTCTATAGTTTTGTTCTGATGTTTAATTTGGGATATGTTTCTTTGTCTTCCCATTTTGGCTGCCTGCCTGCATTTGTTTATATATTAGGTAGAGCTGCTATGTCTTCCGGTCTTAGGAGAGTGGCTTTATGTAGTAGGTATCCTGTGGGGCACAGTAGCACAGTCTCCCCAGTTGCCTGAGCAAGGTGCTCCAGATGTGTCCCTTGTGTCAGTTGTGTGTGCGCTCCTGTTGTGTTTGAGTCTTGGTTGCTGTTTGCATGCCAGTGGGAGGTATTGACCTTCAGGATGATTGTTTATGAGGACTGACTGTGACTATAAGTGGAGAGCTATTGTTCAGGGGCTGACCCTACAGAGTGTGAATCACTTTAGCAGGACTCTGGTGCCTGCTCAGTCTGCCCTTTGGGTGTGTCCTTTGTGGAAGTGGATGGGTAGTTCTCTGGTGCGGTCTGAAGCTGGCCACTGAGTATTGGTTCTGGAGCCTCGTGAGAGAGTGTCTGTTTCAGGCCAAGGACAGCCACTTGCTGTGCCTTGCCCAAGGCCACTTGGTATTAGCTACAAAGTGATCTGCAGATTGTTGCCTCTTGTGCTGTGCCTAGAGGTGTCTGGGAATAGCCAAGCTACAAGCTGAGGCAAGCTGCCGCTAGGTCCAGGCTTGAGGCTGCTTAGCAAAAGGTATGGGGCATACCGAGGCCAAATGCTGCTTGGGCTTTGTGAACCTTTGAGAGATTTTAGGAAAGTTTGCAGCAAGAACCAAAACAGGCTGTTTGTATGGAAAAGCCACTGGAAGAGGCTTAAGTGGGCCCACAAATTTTGTAGGGCCGGGTCTCAGGGAATCACTAGGGCAGGGTGAGCAGAATTAGCCAGGCTGATGAAGACTCAGATATAGTAGCTGCCTGTGTTTGCATGCCAGGAGAGGGGAGGGCCCAACAAAGGAACAAGAGCTTCTACCAGCACCTCTCTCTCAGAGAAAGCTGCTCCTGTAGCCCTCGCCCTGAAGCCAGGCAATTCAGTTCCTCCTTGTATGTCCCTGATGCCCTTCTAGCTGCTGCCCCAGAACAGGTGAATCCATCAGTGAGTAAGTCCATGCCCAAGCCCTCTTAAGACGGATGCCTTGGACTCCAACCATCCTCCATCACACTCAGCCACAATTTCCACTGGTTTTCACAGCCAGAAGTTATGGGGACTTCTATTCCCAGCACTGGAACCTTCAGCTGGGGAGCTTGGTATCTGGCTTGGACCCCTCACTCCTCTGGGGTTGGGGAGACCTCCACAGCCAAGCTATCTCTTCCAATTTTTAACTACCACACATGGGTGCGGGGCCAGTCCCTTCCACATTTCTGCCTTTCCTATCAGTCTTGATGTGGCTTCTTCTGTATGTCCTTAGCTGTAGAACTTATGTTCAGCTAAACTTCAGGTATTTCTCAATGATGGTTGTTCTGTAGTTTAGGTGTAATTTTGAGTTAGTCCTGAGAGGAGGCAAGCACAGCATTTCCTACTCCACCATCTTGACGAGAAGCCTTCATATATTTTTTAAGCTTTTTGCAGTGTTTTTCAGATCTATGTCATTTATTTTCCCCCAAATAAAAATGCCCTTTTTTCTGATTACGTAAATAATATGTCAATAGCCAAAAAAAAAAAAAAAAATGCAGAGAAAAAAGAATAAGGAAGAAAGTTAAAATCCATGTATTTCAGTGCTCATTAATATGATTTTGGTTACCATGTTTTCATGTGTATGTGTAAGTATGTGTAATCATAGCATTTCTTACATATTTATTTTGAGAATTTTTTTAAAACACATTTTTTCTGTTTTTGAACTCCAATTGCCAGCTTCCCATTCCCTTTTCAATATACCGATATTAACAATGATATTTTTTCTTTCATACCTTTATATCTACCATACATCTATATCTACTATCTATATTATGTACACACACACACGCATATACAGGCACCAAAGATATATATAACATTGGAGGCTATGAGGACTGTCATTGTTATTTGTTAAAATAGGATACTATTCTCTATACTCTTCTGTATCTTCCTATTCTCAGATAACACTACATGATAGAACTCTTTTAAGTCAGTTTTGTAAATGTAATTATTCTTTTTAATGGTGCCTAAGATGTCAGCTGTATTTCTAGCCTTACTCATGCCTGAAAGAGAGTTTAAGTGGTCTTTGCGTTAGGACTTTTAGAAAAGTGTGGTGATTTAAAAGAAGTATGAATTTGTTAGAGATGGAGCAGTAATAGTGTGGAGTTTTCAAACAATTCTTGCTGTTTAACCACAATATCTTTGGTATTTTTATTGGACAACCTCAAGCTTATTTAAATATTTGAGGAGTACATTATCCAATCTGCACTTTTTATGTGACTCACTTTAAAAAAATTATTGGACTTTTATCTGAGTTGGGAATGCATTTTTGATTATACATTCCCTTTGCATTAATCTTTCCACTTTCTCCTCCAAATGTGTTGTTGTGTTGACCAATAAAATGAAATTTGTTCCTACAAAATCTGCTTCAAATACAATGGGAACCTTGGTTTTTTCAAGTGAAGTTTTGTCCATTTATCATTATGTACTGATGCATTTATTTTATGAGCTAGATCCCCAAAGGAGGGATTTCTCAGCTAAAGTGTATATGAACTTTTTTTTGAAGTATAAGTTCTATACAGTGAAATGCTCAGATCTTAAGTATATAGTTCAGTTAATTTTGGCAACTGCGTACATTCATGTAACTACACTCCCTATCAAGAAACAGGACTTTTGAAGCATCCCAAAAGGTTCTCTCATTCCTCTTCCCAAGCAGTACCCCATACCTGGTGCCAAAGGAACTACTAATCTGATTTCTATTACCAGATTATTTTTGCCTATTTTTGTACAGTTTCATATAAATGAGCAGAAATGTACATACATTTTTGTACCTACATTTTTTTCATTCAGCATAATGTTTTTGGGGAGTCACCCATGATGTTTTATGTATCATCTTTATACTCCTTTCTATGGCTTTATAATATTTTATTATATGACCATGGTTTGTTTATCCATTCTCCTATTGATTGACATCTGGCTGTTTCTAGTTTAAGGCTATGAAGAATAAATATGCTGTGAACATTTTTGTAATAGGCTTTTTAGATATATTTTCATTTCTCTTGGATAAATTACTAGGAATGGTATTGCTGGGTCATGGAGTAGATGTATGGATAATATTTTAAGAAACTGCCAGATAATTTTTCAAAGAGGTTATAGTATCTTACCTTTCAACAGCAGCAGTATATGAGAGTTTCAATTGCTCCACATCCTCTCCAATAATTTATATTGAAGTTCTTTAATTTTACCCTTTCTGAATGTATAGTAAGATCTCATTGTGCTTTTAATTTGCATTTTTCTGATGACCAATAATATTGGGTACTTTTTCATGTTCTATTGGACAATCTTATGCATTCTCTTTAAAAATGTCTTTTAAAGCTTTTGCCCAATTGTTTAATTTGGTTGTTTCTTCATGTTTTTGATAATAAGATATCTTAATTCTAGATATAAAGCCACTATCAAATATATGTTTTAAAGATTTTTTCCAGTTTGTGGCTTGCCTACTTATTTTTTTCACAGTATCTTTTAATCAATAGATATATCTAATTTTGATGAAGTCTAATTTATCATTTTTTATATATACAAATTTTCTATGTACTCTAAGAAATCTTTCCCTGTCTTAAAATTGCTAAAATATGCTGCTATATTTTTTATAGTAGTTTATAGTTTTAATATGTTTAGGTCTGGGCTCCATCTTGAATTAATTTTTGTCCTTTTTTTCTCATACAGATATCCAATTATGTGAAAATCCACTTGTTGAAAAATTTCCTTTTCCACTGAATTACTTGTCAAAAATCAGTTGACTTTCATCCTTATCAAATATCATTTGACTGTGTATATGTGGGTCTATTTCTGGGCTCCATTCTTTTTCATTGATCTCTTTTATGTCCTCTCACACTCTTTCGTTGGTCTGTGTGCTTGTTTTTCTGCCAATACCATATGTTTTTATTACTGTAGCTTTGTAGTATAATTTGAAGTCAGGGAGTGTGGTACCTCCAGCATTGTTATTTTTTCTCAGGGTTGCTTTGGCTATTCAGGGTCTTTTGTGGTGCCATACAAATCTGATTTTTTGTTCTATTTCTTTGAAAAATGCTGTTGAGATTTTGATGGGGATTGCATTAAATCTGTATCTTGCTTTGGATAACGTGGTCATTTTAACTATGTTGCTTCTTCCAATCCATGAACATGGAGTATCTTTACATATCTTTGTGTCTTTTTCAGTTCCTTTTAATAATGTTTTATAGTTTTCGGAGTTTAGGTTCTTTACATCTTTTATTTATTCCTAGATATTTTATTCTTTTTGTTGCAGTTGCAAAAGGAATTGTTTTTTATTTCTTTTTCTGAAATTTTATTGTTAGCGTATAGGAACGCCATGGATTTTTCTACGTTGATTTTGTATCCTGCAATTTTACTGTATTTGTTTATTGTTTCTAATAGTTTTAGAGTGGAGTCTTTAGTTTTTTCTATAGAGAATCATGTTATCTGCAAAAAGTGAGAGACTTCTTCATTCTCAATTCGATGCCTTTTATTTCTTTCTCTTGCCTGAGTGCTCTAACTAGGACTTCCAACACTATATCGAATTAGAATGGTGAGAATGGGCAGCCTTGTTTTATTACTGATCTTACAGGAAAAGCTTTCAGTTTTTCACCATTGAGTATATTAGCTGAGGGTGTCAATGGGGTATTTAAGTCCCCTACTATAATTGTGTTTTTATCATTTTCTTCCTTTAGTTTTCTTAGTAGTTGCTTTATGTATTTGGTGCTCCTGTGTTGGATGCATATAAATAAGTGTTATATGGTCTTGATGTATTGACCCCTTTATCATTATAAAATTTCCATCTTTGTCTCTTGTTTCCTTTTTTTATCTTGAAATCTGTTTTATGAGATATAAGTATGGCTGCACTGCTTTCCTCTAAATGCCATTTGCTTGGAGTATCATTTTTCACCCTTTCACTTTGAGTCTATGCTTATTCTTGAAGCCGAGACGTGTCTCCTGAAGGCAGCATATGGTTGGGTTTGGTTTTTGATCCAGCCCACTACTCTGTACCTTTTAATTTGGGTGAGTTCAGTCCATTTGAATTTAGAGTGATTATTGATATACAAGGATGTTTTATAGCTGTTTTATCCTTTGTTTTCTGGTAGAGCTCTGTGTCTCCATTCTTTTTCCTTGTGTTTCTGTCTGTTATTTTAGTTTAGTGGTATTCTATGATTTTTTCCCCCTCTGTTTTCTCTTTTTTTATATATATATTATTTACCTCAGTTCTAGATTTGTGTGTGTGGTTACTATTAATTTTATGCAAAAAGAAAGTTTCATGTACACAGTAGTCCTTTTTTTTTTTTTTTTTTTACTGATTGCATCATTTACCTCTGCAAGTTCAGTCTTTTACCCCTCCCCTTTTAGTGTCACAAATTATCCCTTATTCTGTGAGTTTATTTTTAAATTCTCTTCTTTTTTTTCAATGTTTTTATCTCCTTTAACCTTTATGTTATCTTTAAGTGTTTAATACCTTATTCTGAACAAGGGTTGCAATTTCCTGCTTCTGCCTGTTAGTCATCTAGCTCATGTTTTTGTATTCTTTTGTCTTTGTTTCAGGTTGAAGAACACCTTTCAGTATTTTCTGTAATGCAGGTCTTGTGATGGTAAATACCCTCAGCTTCTGTATATCTGGAAAAGTCTTTATTTCTCCTTCATATCTAAAAGATACCTTTGCTGGAGATATTATTCTTAGCTGATGATTTCTCTTTAAATAATTTGAATATTTTATTCCAGTTTCTCCTGTCTTGTAGGGTTTCTACTAAAAAAACAAAAAACAAAAAACCTGATGATAATCTAATGGTATTTCCTTTATAGGTTAGTGTCATCTTTTTCCTAGCTGCCTTAAGAATTCTTTTTTTGTCATTAATTTTGACAATTTTAATATAATGTGTCTTGGAGAAGGATGTTTTGGATTGAGATAATTAGGTGTTTTATGAGCTTCTTGGATTCGAGCATCCATTTCCTTCCATAGGTTTAGGAAGTTCTCATCAATTATGTATTTGAATAGACTCTCTGTTCCCTTCTTCTCTTCTACTTCTGGTATACCCATTATTCTTATATTTCTCTGTCTAATGGAGTTAGATAGTTCTGTTCTTTTTTTTTTTTTTTTTTTTTTTTTTTTTTTTTTTTTTTTTTTTTTTTTTTTTTTTTACTCTCGATTTCCTCTCTTCTTCCACCTGAGTCATTTCTAGATTTCTATCTTCTGTCACTAATTCTTTACTCCATCTGGACTATTCTTTTTCCTAAGCTTATTAGTTATTCTTCACCTTTTTTATTGAGTTCTTCAGCTTCAGATTTTTTTTTTTTTTTTGGTTCTTTTTCTGATAGTTTCAATCTCTTTTGCAAAGTACTCCTTTTGTTTGTTGGTTTTTATATCTGTTTGTTGAATAGCCTTTCTCAGTTTTCTTGTATCTCATTGATTTTTTTGAGAACTGCAATCTCGAATTTTCTGTCACTTAAATCATATTCTTCCGTGTCTTTAACTTTATTTTCTGGAGGTTTTTCATTTTCTTTTTGAATTTCCTTGTTATCTTGGTTATTCATTGTGCTTTATGGATTATTCATCTGCCTGGCTATTTGTAGAAATGAAAACTGCTTTTTTAAGAATTTAATACTTGTTAAGCAGATTGATAAGTAGAGGTCTTTTTAATGTTACTTTCCAGAAAGTGGCACTGAAGCTCCAAGTTTGTTTGTTTTTTTCTCTCTCTTACCTGCACTTCTGGGGCTTCTGGGATCTCTGTGGGTCAGTGTAAATATTGGCAGCAACACAAATATATCTCGGTTAGGTCCTGGTTAAATAAATTATGGTACATAATACTAAAAGACAAAATATTCCACAACTGTTAAAATAATGAAGAAACTACTCTGTATGTACTAATGTGGGACAGTCTCTAAGATATAAAGTTAAGTGAAAAGCAAAAGATATAAAATACTGAGACAAGTCTGCTACTATTTATATATAGATTAATAAATAATTATTTACAAGTATGGAAAATACTTCTATGAACATGCTGAGCAGTGGATGATATGGGTGCTTCTTCTAGGGAGGATAAGTAGATGGCGTAGAACAAAGATGAGAGGGCAATTCTTTTACTGTCTACCATTTTTTGTCTTCTGAATTTTGAACTATTTAAATGAATTATCTATTCAAAACAATGAAAAATGTTTCCAAAATTGTAACAAAGTAAAAATATCTTGTTAAAATATCTAGCTTGTAGTTATAATACTGCTACTAAAATCTAAAATTGGTTTGTCTTCCTTCTAATTCTATTTGAAGTTTGCCTCCTTTCTGTTGACAGTAAAAACAAAACAAAATATTTGACCCTTTTATAGGTGCTGCTCAGTAACTGTTTAACAAGTCCCCCACTTCCACCTTGCTCATTTTTGTTTTAAAGCTCCAGAGGCCAGATAGTTTTAGAAAAAGTATTTTTTAAATTCTATCACTCAAATATATGTCTGACTGCATATGTCTTTAAATGTTTAATTGTATGTGATATAGAAAGAAGTGATTGGAAAACAATTTTAGTGAACTTCAATTTTAAGGATTTGGGGGAAAATGACCAAAAAGCTGAAAGTGTAATGATAGTCTTATTTTCTCTTTCAGATATTAAGCACCGCCGAATACCAATCTTATTCTTTGCAAACAAAATGGATCTTAGAGATGCAGTGACATCTGTAAAAGTGTCTCAACTGCTGTGTTTAGAGAACATCAAAGATAAGCCATGGCATATTTGGTAAAATTTTAGATTTACTTTTTATTTTATCATTCTGAAAAAGTCTCAAAGCTTCAGTGTTTCTTTTCCAAGCTCATTATTTAAGTGACCTAACATGGTAGGATATAAGCCAAGGATCTCATTTTATAGAATGTGGCGTTGCAGGTATTCATGAACATATTACTGTTAAAACCTTTTTACATCTTTTTGCGGTAGAATAACATAAACAACTCTTTAAAAGAATAACTTACACAGCTCATTTATGCACCCAACTTCAACTGCATTGATTTCTTTCTGCACAATGAATCAGCCAACCACAGTCCTGTCTCGGGGCATTTGCACTTGTTACTCCCTTTGTCTGAATCATTTTCCAAAATAATTTTCCTGGCTTGCTATTGCACTTCCTTCAGGAGAGAGACCTCTTCTAATAGCTCTCTAAAACATCACCATATCTTACCCAGCCTCATTTTTTCCTCACTTTGCTTTGTTTTGCTTTTGCCATATGCCCTCTTTTTTCCCCCTTTGTTTTATAATCAATTTTTACATCAGTACATTAGAACCATGAGAACTGGGATTTTATTGGTTTTGTTCATGCTGTAATCCTTGGAATAGTAGTAGTACAGGATACTTAGTAGGTTCATAATAATGTGTGTTTATATTAATAAGTAGAAATAGAAATAAAATCTTATTTGGACATACTAATAAGGTTGAACTCAAATAATTAGTGTCTGAAATTATTATACATTCTTTGGAAAGCCATTTCTAACTAATATATTTAATTCCAGTGTGCCTTTTTGCCATAATAGACCAATGAGAATAAGCAGAAGTTATATATAAGATAGTATTTTAGTGCCTACCACTACCTTATATAAAGCTGTCTCTGTCCAACCATCTATCTCCCACTGCTGCATGATTTCCTTGGCTTGCCAGTTTTCTCCGTTTTTGTAAGACAGTATCTGTGAAGAAAGGCTGAACACAGAGACAGAGAAATCCGCTGCCTCCAGAAGGAGAAACAATATGAAGCAAAGTGGTAGTAGAGCTCAGAGAACTTTAAAAGCTAACCTTGGTACTGGAAGAGTAATAATATAAAAGAGCTTAAAAAAGCCCTTGGAACTCCTCAGTACTTCAGGCCTCCAGCACCTCTACCCAGGAATGAAACACTGCATGTCTCAAGTAAAATCCTCCTTCCTTTGGAATCAGAAAAAAAGTCAATGTTTACTAAATGATTCTTGAGTTTGCATTTGAAGTTCTGTGGTATTGGTAAAGAGAGGAGGGATTTAGAGTAGGAAAATATCTTAAGATGGAACCTTTGCATTTTTCTACATCATTTAGGTAAATCGTATCTAAATTGATAACATATAAAATAGAATGACTTTTAATTTTTGCATTGTAGTAAGTATTGTGAGTACTTTAATAGAAAATACAACATTCAAACACATGGGCCTAATTAATAAAAGATTGTCCTGACTTTAATTTTGAAGTAGAAGTTAATTTTGCAAATGGAGAAAATATCTTCTTAAAATAATTAGCGATTGAATTTTACCAAATTTATTTATTCAGTTGTGACATCTAAATATTTTTCAGTGAAAGAAAAAATAATGTCCTGATGTTATAAAAGATGTAGAATATTCTGTTTTCTGTATAACTTATAGAAAAATGCCAAATAATTCTTTTATATTGGTCTGTAATTTTGAATTCTCCTTAATTCAAACTAGACATCTCGCTAAGTTCAATTAGTGCTTCATTTGTTAAATTTTTATTTTTTGTAATGTTTTTTAAAGCATGTATAAAATTGAAAATGCATTTATCTTTTTCCACTTTTAGAGATAAAGGTAATGCACAATGATAAAGGAACATTACTGTATAGTTTCGACCATTATACTAAACGTATAGTCACCTCCAATTTTTAAGATCTGATTGCAGTATTTTGTTCTTCTTATGTGTTCTTTGACTCAGTCCCTGGCATTATACATATATGTTTTTGTTTATTTACTATCTTGTGAAGGAGACAGATAATAAAACAGGTGAATAGATATATAAAATGTCACCTGGGAGGGTAAAGAAAAAGAAAGGATAATAAGATAAACAATAATGACACATACTACCTCTCAGATCTAATTGAAGTCAGGGAGCAATGCACGCAAAGGTTTGGAGGAATAGCTTTCCAGATAGAGAGGCAAGTGAGAGGCTCTTGGTTGAGAATGTGCCTGGTGTATTTCAGGAATTGCAAGAAGTCGAGGCTGATTGGAACAGAGATATCTGTGGGGTAATTTGTAGGGGATGAGGCCACTGAGAAATAACCAGGCGCCATATCACAGAGGGCCTTGTAGGACATGGTGAAGACTTTGGCTTTTATTTAGTTACAAGTCTGATGATTTATTTGGAAGGAAAGGTGGAATTCAAACACTCTGGAATTATTAGGAAAAGATGCAGGGTTTTTAGTAGGGTAATGACAGTCCTCCATCAAAGGGGAAGGATTTCTTCATTGTATTAGTTATTTGATACTGTAATCTTGTTTGGAGCTATAGTTAAGTGATAAAATCAATACATTGATTTTTTTGATAAAAGTATTTCAGTTACTCATGTTTTGCTATTGATATAGATAATCCATAGTTTTCTTTAAATAATTGTATATCATGCTGTTTGTTATATCTTCCTATTTTAAAATATTGTGATGAGTCACATTCTTAGTCTAATAAGTAATTCCTTAGAAGTAATTTTTGTTTTGAATGGAATCAAATTAACTCTTTAGATAATTTAGTACATTTTAAAATCATGTTTTAGCACACTAAAAGGAACCCTAATCATTCAGAAAATCTAATTATGGATACTAATTGCTATTACATGATCAGTAACATGTTATGAGAAACTATTAGTCTTTGTCTTGGAAAAAATTGTTTGATACTCTAAAAATCCTTTGCATTTTATTTTAGTTTATATAACTTAATTATGATTATAGAATATCACAATGAGGATTTAAGTTTACTTTCTTAAGAATGGAAAGACCATGAAAAGGCCCTGTTTTAGGTATTTAATTCTCATAATAACTATATGAGGTCAATGGTAATATTCCCCCATTGTACATATGTTAAGACACAAGAGTTAAACTATCCAGGTTCCTGAAGACAATAAGCATAAAACTATTTTTGAAAGCTACCGATATATATTTTTTTATTCTACCAGTTTACCAAGGTTATAATTATAGGTTTATACACTATAGATATCAAATTCCATTTCAAATAAAGTCACTCTATCTTATGGCTAAATTACCACCTAAGTCAAACAATTCTAATCAATAAATAAATGCAGTTGAGTCATTGGGGCTGGGAAAAATAAGATGGTGGACTCTATAAAACTTTTCCACCACTGCAAAAATAACTCAAAGTATATGTTTTGTTAATGTCAGTCTGAGTAATATTCCTAGAATAACTTATTAGTGCTATCCTTTTCCAAATGTCATACAAATTATGTCAATACAAATATCAGTACAAAGTATGAATAATTTTCTCATGTCTTGTTCCTGAACACTCAGACTTTTGTTTCCCATGTATATTCTATTTCAGTGCTTAACCACTTTTGATCATATGTGTTACTAGAATATATTAATTTGCCATGTGGCAAAATTATAATTATTTATTCTTATAGTTCTATGATGTAATGAAATGGGTATGTTTCTTATGGATTTTATTTCAGTGCTAGCGATGCCATAAAAGGAGAAGGATTGCAAGAAGGTGTAGACTGGCTTCAAGGTATATCACAAAATACTGTGTATCTTCAACCCTTATTTCCTTTCCAATCACATTTTTCTTTCTTTTTTTGAACATTTATTTTTATTATATCATTGCTTTTTTCCCTCTTGTTTCCATTTATTTCTGCTGTCAGAAAAAACAATACAGTAAGTATCTAATACCTTGCATTTAATACAATCAATATACATGACAACTCTAGAAAAATATTTTTAATTTATAGCAAGAAATTTCTATCAGATCTAGTAATAGCACATTTGAAAGTTGGAGCAAAATTTAGGCCCACTGTCACTAACTAAAAAATAAATCTATATGGCATGTATTGTAAGAATCACAGTGTACTCCATATATATATATTCATTTATATATAACATGTTTACACAACTTTTAACATTCATCTAATATTGTAAATACTGGTATTATATTAATGTTTCGTATATTGCAGTTCTATTATTTATCAAAATAACTATCATAGGTTTGTAGTTTGTAGATTCTCACTATATCAGGAAATAAATTAAGATATATCGTTTTCCCTGAAGTTACATTGTCTACTATTCACAGGAATGGCTTGAAACCCAGTGACCCACACAGAGCAGAATATGTGAATGAAACTGTAGGTTCTTCTTATTATGAGACCCTGAGGGTCAGGCAAAAAAATTTCCTTTCGTGAGCAGAACAACTGAAGATCATTCCTATTAAAAATTTTCCTGCTCTGAATGTGGGTGAATAACAAGATATTATAAATTCAAATTTTAGTCTTATGGCTATCAATTTAATTTCTTCTACACGTACCTTTTTTATCTTCTCCATCTTTATTGAAATAGACAATGCTTGCATTTACATTGTACAATTCAGTGAGGTTTTTTTCTCAATTATAGTTGGCCTACAATAATATACCAATTTCAGTTGTATAGCATAGTGATTAGAGATCCACATAACTTGCAAAGTGATTACCCTCCTAAATCTAGTACCCCTCTTCCCTTTTACATATTTATTACATTATTAGCCATCTTCCCCATGTGAACTCTACATCTCCATGTCTATTCTGCAACTGTCCATTTGTACCCCTTAGTCCCTTCGCCTTTTTACCCCTAACCCTCCTCCTATCTAGTATCCCTCTAAATGTTCTCTATCTATAAGTTTATTTCTTCTTTTGTTGTTTTGTTGTTGATTATGTTCTTTAGATTCCACATGTACGTGAAATCATGTGATATTTTTCTTTCTCTATCTGACCCATTTCACTCAGAGTAATACCCTCTGGGTCCATCAAGGCAATATCTTTTTTCCATCCCCTTCCTTTTAGTCTGTGTGTGTCTTTTAATCTGAAATGAATCTCTTTGTAGGCAGCATACATAGGAATCTTGTTTTCTTATCCATTCAGGTACTCTATCTTTTGGTTGGAGCACTTAATTCTATCCCATTGAGGTACTTGTTGATAGGAATGTAGTTATTACCATCCTTTATTCCTGTTTTTGACATATGTTTTTTTCTTCTTAAAAAAGTCTCTCCAACATTTCCTGTAATACTGGCTTGGTGATGATAAATTCCTTTAGCTTATTTTTGTCTGGAAAGCTCTTTATCTGTCCTTCAATTCTAAATGATAGCGTTGCTGGATAAAGTATTCTTGGTTGTAGATCCTGGGTTTTCATCACTTTGAATATTTTGTGCCAAGCCCTTTTGTCCTGCATAGTTCTTTTGAGAAATCAGCTTCCAGCTTTATGGGTGCTCCCATGTAGGTAACTAACTGCTTTTCTCTTGCTGCTTTTAAGATTCTCTCTTTGTATTTAACCTTTGGCATTTTAATTATGATGTGTCTTGGTGTGGGCCTCTTTGGGTTCCTGGTTTTGGGGACTCTTTGAGCTTCCTGGGGTTTTATGTCTATTTCCTTCACCAGGTTAGGGAAGTTTTCTATCATTATTTCTTCGAATAGCTCTTCAACTTCTTGTTTTCCTTCAGGTACCCCTATGACACGGATTTTTACCTTTAATAGTGTCTCATAGGCTCCTTGAATTATTATTATAGTCTTGGCTTCTTTTTTCTTGCCATTCTGATTGAATGTTCTTGGCTTTCCCATCCTCTATTTAGGTCATTTGACCCTCTTCTTTATTCATTTTGCTTATTTCACTTAATATACTTCTCATCTCAGATAATGTGTTCTTCGTTTCTGACTGGTTCCTTTTTATAATTTCCATTTCCATTTTTTTTTTATCTCTTTGTTAAAATTCTCACTGAATGTATCTATACTTCCTATAAGTTCATTGAGCATCTGTATAACCAGTTTCGAACTCCACATCTGTTAGATTGCTTTACTCCATTATTTCTGGATCTCTGTTCTGTTCTCTCACATGGGTTCTGTTTCTTTGTCTTTCCACTTTGGCCACCTTTCTGTGTCTGTTTCTATGTTCTAAGCAAAGCTCTTAAGTCTCCAGTCTTATTAGTGCAGCTTTGTGTGTCCAGTAGCACAGTCCTGAGAGGGGTTCAGCTGCAGGCTAGATTTATCCCCAGTTTGTGCCCCTCCGGGGCCACCTGTTAAGATTCAGCAAGCAATCGACAGAAGCTGTGCTAATAGTTGCCTCAATTGGCCACACCAGAAACCAAGGCCAGCTGCCAGCAGTGTCTCTGTGCTGCTCAGCAAGGGCACCTGACTCCCCAGGACACACCTAGATGTGCCTTGGGTGGGGCTGTTGGTTGGGGGAGGCAGAGTTTCAGGGAATCCTCTGGGCTGAGTGACCTCTGTTATACTGTTTGATTATTTGTCTGCTATGGCAGTGCTGAGTTCGCACACTGGAAGTGGGGGAGGGCTCAACAAAGTAACAATGGTTACCGCCAGCACTTCTGTACAGAGCGAGTCTCCCCTTGGCCCTCACTCCGACAACTCAGTGTCCCCCTGTAAGTCCCTGGTGCCACTTGTGCAGCTCAACCAGCACTGGTGCTCAGAGCAAGCAGGTCCATCGCCATGAAAATCCGCTCACAGATGTGGCCCCTTTAAGAGGCATCTGCTGTCGCAGCCTCCATCTCATTCAGCTGCTCAGGACAGGGCAGCCCTGCGTCCATGCCCCGTCCTACCTTCTGCCATTGCAGGGTGATTTTTTAGTTCTCTCCCTTAGTCGTATGGCTTGTTCATGTAGATCCCAGGCAATTTTCCTTGCTGTTTGCTTGTTTTTTCTGTCACAACTTTTATTTGGTTGCCAAAGGTATGAACAGAGCCTCTATCATCTATGCCATATTTTTTCCCTCCTCTATACTTACCTTTTAATGCCAGTTATATGTGATTTTTTTCTCCTCTGCATATCATGGTGGATCTAAGAGTAGCCTGCTTGCTCATACAAAGACATAATATTTCTTTGATTCAGAGTACTAAAGGTACACCTGAAATATTTTTGTTATTAGTAAAATATGGTATTTTAGCAACTTCACAGACTATTCTCTTTTATATTTATGTAGTCATTATATTTACCATTAAACTGCAAAGAACATTTTAGTTGTATTTTACAATTAAGTGAAACTTAATCGAGAACCTCTAGTGGTTCTCAGAAGAACTACTGGAATTTTTCTGTAAATATACCAACTTAGTTTCTTAGACTGTGGTAAAGAAGTGGTCAAAGTTAAGGGACTGATTTCCACATGAAACATAGATTACAGAGGTGCATTTCAGAGAAGACACCAAAAACATTTTCAGCCTTGATTTATTATTTTACAAGTGCTTATTGTTGCTCACGGTAAAGATATAGCATGGATGGAAATCTTTCTATTGCTCATAATAAAGTGATTCATAATATCAACTGAAGATAGGTTGATAGAACCTGGATTTTCAGTTGTAGTTCTTTTTTTCTGTGGGGGGAGGTATTTTTGGTTTTATTTTAACTGTAACAATGAGGCCACTAGGTGTCAGTAACAGTCCGACTTCACAACAGTGCCACTTGCCAACTCTGGTCTTGTTACCTAACCTTTGTTTCTTTGACTTTTCTAATCCATTCTTTGCTTCTTAGCTCCCAATCTTTGTAAGGAGGATACATTATTAGAAATACTTTTGTGCCCTTGTGTTGCCATATTATTTTATATAACTTTACAATAGTTCTCTGCAAGTAAGTATAGCATCCCCATTTTATGTAAGCAGCATGGAATAGTAGTTAAACAGTACTTGGGCTTTTGAATCTGGCAGATTCATTCTACTAATTATTAACTAAAATCTCTTGTGAGGATGATTTTATTCAACTACAAAATTAAAAAATAAAATATCAAAAATTACTATACAGATTAAGTGAAACACTAAGTTAAAGTACCTATCATAAGTAAACATTCAATAAATGTTAAATTTACCCTTTTTCCTAACTGCTCTATTTAACAGAGAAGGAAACTTAGTACATAGATTAAAAAGTGTATCCGTTTGGTTTTGAATAGGAGATCCTTTTTCACGTTTCCTATGTAATAGTAAATAGTTTACATTTTGATGCCCCCATCTCTCTAGATTTGAAAAGTGGTAAAAATCTATTTTACAAAATAGGTAGCAATATGTAGGAAACTAGTCTGTGCCTGTAACCAATTTATTAGCCAGAGGTTTTTATGTAAATCTGTGAAAGGTGTTCTATACTTATATCTCTGCATTTTGCTTCCAGAATTCTGAAATTTCCTTGCATGATAAATCAGAAGCCTTTGGACCAATTTAATCTTATTATTTTAAGTTTAAGGTTGAAAATATTTAGGTAAAATATTAAAATGACACATTTTGTGCCATCATTTCATTATCTTTTGGAAGGGTTCCCAATAATTACCTATGTATTACAGCCCAAAGACAAGAACTCCCTGAGTATACCATGAAGTACTTTTTTGAAAACCAACAGAGAATATACAGAAACCATTGCAGAGGTATAAATGGTTTATATTTATAAAAGTGATACATTTATAAAAGAAATTATCCCACGTGACTAATGAAACTTGCTCATTTTATCACTTTATCTGTATGAGAAAAGTTAATGCTTCCAGGTTTTAATACGACTTATAAACTATGCACATGGGTGTTCTAATGAAAACTATAGGACCTAAAGATATTAACATCAGAGATTTACAAGGAAATGGCTTAGCTAAATACACGAGAATAATGAAGAGTGTGTTTGACAAGCCTAACACACATACCGAAATTCCAGTTAGCTTTACAGTGTTCACTCGTGTATGTGAAGATGGCAACGGATCACCAGGCATTTGAGGACCAACACATTATGAACTGTGAAACATAAGCAAACCAAAAAAAGCAGTTTAGAAGTAGAATTTATTTAGGGAGAACATTTCAAAAAACTAGTAGAGTATACTGAAGAAGATAAGAGAAGGTATTACTTTCATGAATATACCAGGATACTGCTTGAAAGAAGAAAGAAATAAGTTGCTGGGAAATAATAGAACGGTGGAAATGGAAAACTCAATGAAAAGAAGGTAAATAGAGGCAATACCTCAAAAAGCAGAGCAAAAAGACAAAGAATAGAAAAATAGGAAAGTAAAGAAAGTATGGGGTCATATTTAGGAAGCCCAATGTCCAAATAAAAGGAATTTCGGGAAGAGAAGAGAGAAGTAGAGGGGAGGAAATCATCAAATAAATCATCAAACAGTATTTTCCAGAACTGAGTCATGAGTTTGTAGTTGAAAGACCACTTGAGAGCCTAATGAAGTAGAGAAAATATTCCTACCAAGGCGCATCATTATTAAAATTCAGTACTGAAGACAATGGAAGATTTTACAAGCTTTCTGAGAAGAAGAAAAGAGGTTTCATGTAAAAGATTAGAAAACAGAGTAGCATGAGACTTTTCAACAGCAGCACCTAGAAGCTGTAAGATATTTGGGCAATGCCTGGAACAGTTCAAGGAAGACGTAACAGAATTATTCTCAGGCATTGTCAGTGTATTGTGACTATAGAATTAAGACATCTTAAGCCATGTAGAGTCTCAAGAATTCACTATATCTTTTACTAAGATTGCCACTAGGAGATGTACTATTCAAAAACAAGGGAATAAAAAATAAAGGGATATGAAACAGGAAAACTAGCACAAGAGAGGGGTGGAAGGAATCCCCAGGATGATATGGAGAGTCTAGAATGATAGTTAAAGGTCTCATAAGAAAATAACTGGGCAAGCATAAAGAACAACTGATCTAGATTAGAGAGTTTTGGAAGACTCTAGTGGAGAGTTCTTTAAGAACATGAAATTGATAGTCTATATAATGTGCTTCATAATAATAAGGGTTTAAACATTGTGAGAGTAGTGGGATTGAAGTAGTATTAGGTACATTTAAAAAAAAAAAAAAAAAAAAAAAAAAAAAAAAAAAAAAAGCAAGGCCGGATTGGGGATGAGGAAAAATTAACTCTAGGGAAAACAAAATGTAGTTGAAGACAGGAAAAGTAACTGGAGTATACCACCTGTCTGAACTCTTTTAAAGCCATCATATTGATAATGACTACATTTAAAGCCATCATATTGATAATGACTACAATGTAGCATTTAAAGCCATCATATTGATAATGACTACAATGTTAGGAGAATTGGAGTGTTGGAAGCATTTAACTCTAGGGAAAACAAAATGTAGTTGAAGACAGGAAAAGTAACTGGAGTATACCACCTGTCTGAACTCTTTTAAAGCCATCATATTGATAATGACTACATTTAAAGCCATCATATTGATAATGACTACAATGTAGCATTTAAAGCCATCATATTGATAATGACTACAATGTTAGGAGAATTGGAGTGTTGGAAGCATTATGAGGGTTGCAGAGAGCAGCACAGAAATGCATAAGAGCTGAAGCCTCATTAAATAGAAAGGACTGATATTTCAACAACTAGTAATAAAAGTGTATTATGCAGAGATACAAAGGTACTCACCTAAAGGGGGGTTAGTTGGAAGTAGCTGCCTATGAAAAGAGAAAGAGGAGATGAAGCAAAGGACTTCTGTATTTTATACAAGCTCAAGCAGTATCCTGGTATATTCATGAAAGTAATACCTTCTCTTATCTTCTTCAGTATACTCTACTAGTTTTTTGACTAATTATTTGCATGTATAACTTTGACAAAAATAAAAACTAGTATCAATTGTGCTTTAAAAAAATGGGTGTGTGCATGTGTTTCTACCATGTTCTTACAGATTTGTTTCAGATTACATTAGAAAATAGATTTTTGCCCTGTAGAGACTGATAATTTCTTGTTTATTTTTTATCAGATCAGATCCAGGCTGTGAAGACATGAAAAGATAATATTTGGAAATGTCAACAATTGTCAAATCGTGGAATATATCTTAAGGCAAACTGAATACTTTAAAATTTTTAAAAGATGTTTGTGCATCTAAGAATATAATAATTTGCTTTTACGGACTCTAAATGAGCTTTATAAGAACATAGGACTTCAGGTATGTTAATCTGGCCATTAATTTTATGAAAACTAAATCCTCAGAAAGGCTCCCCAGAATTATTAGCTTCTTGGTAAAGGTCTACATTTTATTGTAATGAGAATGTTTAAAGTCAGTTAAAATTCATCTCAATATCTCCTCATGAATTATGATACCTTTAATGTATTTTATTTTTTTAATTGTCTTCTGAAAGTTTAGTTTGTGGTACGACTTTGCAGTATAATTGTGCTTATGAAAAAGAACTTTAAATCTTTATAAGGGACCATGGGTAATTAATGTATATTAGATTTTTAGTATATGCCACCATCAATAAAACATAAAATATAATGTACCAACTAGTGTACTTTGTTTATGCTGAAAAGAATAATGCTGTGTTAATATGGTGTTTGGTGTTTTTACTGTCAAGCATTTGTAAGTTATCTGAAACCAAGTTATACTGAATTTGCTTACCCAGCGAATCTATATTCAACAGCTCTATACCTGTACTAGTCTAGCATTATCCTACACAGTGGTGATACAAGATAAATAAGACATTTCTTATCCTCCGACAACTTAAAATTTAATGAGGGCGAATTTGAGAACATTTTCATACATTGTATCTAATTTTGTTTCATTGGCTGAATGGAAATATTGACCTGAAGATTAAGAATTATAAAAATGAATTGTGTGATTCTTCAATAATTATTATAACTGACTTTTTTCCTTCAAAATGCTACCAGTTTACCATAGTACTTTGTTAAAATAGATTGTAACTGGCCAAACAATGTTTTTTTCTGAGCATAAACTGCTACATAAATGTTCTTTAAGATTTTAGACATATCTTGGTTATCTACTGTATGCAAATTGTTATTCTCACAATTTAAAGATCACTTACAATTGTGAACTCAAAATAGAAACTTTGAGTTTAAGGTAACCATTTGGAAACAGTGTTTAGAACAATGGTGTCAGTTCTAAAAAACATAGCATATAAAGAAAATGTAATATACAATATGTAATATCTTAAACATCCTTAGCTGTGAAATGATAAAAACAGAAAGTAAAAGGTAAATGAGTAATAAAGATGTGTTATAGTAACTGCAGTAGTGGCATGTTTCAGAGATTTGAATAAAATAATTTAAAAACTACAGTAAAAATTCTATAATCCAGTTTCTCATAGCCAAGAAGTCCCAGTGATTTATAATTTAACAAATTGAAAGTTATCCAGACTATTTCAGTGGTCCAGCATTTTAAGCTAGCTTGCCAGCTTCTCAATAAATGTTTTGATGAGGATAAAAACTGAGACTCATTAATCTAGAATTGACTCACATATGAAAAGGACATGATGAAAACACTGAATGTCATTTAACAAAAAACTGGTATGCTGCAACTATTTTAGGAGGATGGAGAAAGGGGTGTTTAAGAGAATTCAGATCCTCATCTACCATACGATAATAATAATAATAGTTATCATTATGTGATCACTATATTTTGAGCAAGATATTATTATTAGCATGTGATTTTATGTCATTTAATCCTTACAATAACCTTATATGGTAGGTTCTATTATTTGTTTTACAGACAAGAAAACTGAGGCCTAAAAAAGTTAAGTAATTTGCTAAAGGTCACAGAGCTAATAAATGGTGGTACTGGGATTCAGAACCAAACAATCTGTTTCAAATTGATGATTCAAGAGTCAGGAGTATTGCACATATTAGAGATATAGAAGTATCTGCCATAAGAATAGCTAAAAGGGTTGAAAAGACTCTCACTGGGGAGTGAGATCAGGCTGGGTAGGGGAGAGGTCAGAGATAAAGGACAACTATTTTTAAGTCTATTAACACTTTGAATTTTAAATTTTGAATGATAAATATACTCAAAACTATTGTGCTATTAAGTTAATTAGTATTCTACAAACTACAGTGACTCATACCTATGCAGATATTTAGAAGAAAGAGAATACTTTCTCTTTTATTTTCATGAACTCCAAATCTAGTTTATATTCTGTAGAAGCAAGTTGGGCAACAATAGTCACAGGATGCCATATAAGTGTGTTTAAGCTGAGGTTATTGCATTTTATTTAACACATGGAATTAAAATTTATTGCATTAAAACTCAAGCAGGTATTTTTTCATGTTTAGACATCACTGTGTTATAAAGTTTAATTCATTGAGCTCTACATTTCAATATAACACCTCATAAAGTGTTCAAAACATCCTATTGTACATTTTGCATTTATGTGGCCCTATTTATATGTAGCCCTATTCAACCTGTGCTTTGTATATCACAAAGGGGCTGAGTTTTATATATTTACTTTTCATCTATAAGTTGTCTGCTAAAAATTATGAGTTGCCTCCTGATTTCTTAGGGTTTTTTTTTCTTTTGGAATTTTTGGCACACCATGTTGGAATTTCCATGCATATATGCAGATACTCTTGCAAAAAGGGCAGATACATCCTACATGCGACTCTGGTACATTTAAAATACTGTAGCATTTTAATGGACTTTGTACATATTTTCTGCTTTCTGATTATTCCTCTTCTTAATTTAAAAGAATAAACCGATTGAAAGTTCACTTAAATGGATGTTAAAATAAGTTTGTTTCTGTGGCTGAAAAATACTGTAATGATTGAGAAATGGTTATTGTATTTAATTGACTGTTTCAGATAACTTACTTATTCCATTTTCATAGTGAATCTTTGTAATTAAGGATGATCCTGCAGGGGTTTGCAAGAGACTGCCTCAGGACCATTATTCTTCTTCCTTCTGATCACTCGATTTTAATGCCACAGTTGGAGGCTTCATCAATGTGTGTTCAACTTTTTTCTGGTGATTTAGAATAAACCAAGAAGTGCAAATTAAATACTCTCCATGTTTCAAGTCACTAAGTAATGCTAGATAGTGGTCATACAGGAATCGTAGGTATTTTGAAAATAAAATTTGGTTAGAAATATAGTAGTAATTCTTCAGTGAACATTGGGGTACATAAATCTTTACAGATAAATAATTTCAGATATGGGGATAGATACCCATAAGAGGAATTGCTGGGTCATATGGTAATTCTAAATTTTTTTGAGGAAACTTTATACTGTTTTCCATAATAGCTGTACCGATTTATATTCCCACCAGCAATATATGAGGGTACCTTTTCCCCAAAAACCTCTCTAACACTTGTTATTACTTGTCTTGTTGATAATAGCCATTCTTACAGGTGTGAGATGGTATCTCATTGTGGTTTTGATTTGCACTTCCCTAATAGCTAGTGATGTTGAGCATCTTTTCATATGTTTGTTGGCGATTGTATGTCTTCTTGGGAGAAGTGTCTATTTAGGTCCTCTGCTCATTTATTAATTGGATTGTTTGGGGGTGGTTGTTTTTGTTGTTATTGAGTTGTGTGAGTTCTTCGTATATTTTGGATATTAGGTCCTTATCGGAGACTTTGCTTGCAAATGTATTTTCCCATTTGGGTGGTTGTCTCTTTACCTTGTTGACAGTTTCTTTTGCTGTGCAGAACCTTTTTAGTTTGATGTAGTCCCATTAATTTATTTTTGCTTTTACTTCCCTTGCCTTTGAGGTCAAATTCATAAAATCTCTAAATCAAAAGATCATGGGTTTAGTAGCTATGTTTTCTTATATGCAATTTATTGTTTCAGGTCTTATATTTAGGTCTTTGATCCATTTTGAGTTCATTTTGGTGTATGATGACAGATAGCCTACTTTTATTCTTTTATATGTGGCTTTCCAGTTTTTTCAGCACCGTTTATCAAAGAGGTTTTCTTTTCTCCATTGTATGTTTTTGGCTTCTTTGTCAAAAAGTCTTTGCCCACAGATACGGGGATTTATTTCTGGGCGCTCTACTCTGTTCCATTGGTCTGTGTGTCTCTTTTTCCGCCAATACCATGCTATTTTGATTATTGTCACTTCGTAGTATGATTTCAAGTCAGGCACTGTGATACCTCCAGTTTTGTTATTTTTTCTCAGGATTGCTTTGGCTGTTCGGGGTCTTTTGTGCTTCCATACAGATCTGATGATTTTGGTTCTATTTTTAAAATGTCAATGGGATTTTTTATGGGGATTGCTTTAAATCTGTATATTGCTTTGAGTAGTATAGCCTTTTTAACTATGTTTATTTTTCCAATCCATGAACACAGAATATTTCTTTGTGTCTTCTTCAATTCCTTTAATAATGTCTTATAGTTTTCAGTGTTTAGGTCCTTCACATGCTTCATTAAGTTTATTCCTAAGTATTTTATTCTTTTTGTTTCAATTGAAAAAGAATTTTTTTTTTTCATTTCTTTTTCTGAAATTTCATTGTTAGTATGTGAGAACACCATGGATTTTTGTACATCGATTTTGTATCCTGAAACTTACTGTATTTGTTTATTGTTTTTAATAGTTTTTTGGTGGAGACTAGAGTTTTATATATAAACAATCATGTTGTCTGCAGAAAGTGACAGTTTGACTTCTTCATTCCCAATTTGATGCCTTTTATTTCTTTCTCTTGCCTGATTTTCTAGCTAAGACTTCCAGTACTATTTTGAACAAGAGTGGTGAGAGCAGACAACCTTGTCTGGTTCCTGATCTTAAAAGGAAGGCTTTTAGTTTTTCACCATTAAGTATGATATTAGCTGAGGATTTGTTATATGTGGCCTTTATGTATTGAGGTACTTTCCTTCTATACCCATTTTATTAATCATAAACGGTTGCCATATCTTGTCAAATGTTTTTTCTGCTTCTATGGATATGATCATATGATTTTTATCCTTTATTTTGTTTACGTGGTGAATCACATTGATCGATTTAGAAACAACTGAAATGCCCTTCAGTAGATGATTGGATAAAGATGATATGGTACATACATACAATGAAATATTACTCAGCCATAAGAAAAGACGAAATACTGCCAATTGTGACAACATGGATGGATCTAAGTCAGATAGGAAATGGTGAGAACTGTATGATTTCACTCATATGTGGGATGTAAAACTGAAAGCAACAAATGAACAAGACAAACAAACAGACTCACGGACACAGACAACAGTTTAGTGATTACCAGGGGGAAAGTGGGGAGGGGGTAGATATGGGTAAAGGGGGTCAAATATAAGATGATAGAAGGAAACTTAACTTTGGGTGGTGAACACACAATGCAATATACATATGACATTATTGAACTGCATACTTGAAACCTATAGAATTTTATTAACCAATGTTACCACAATAAATTTAATTTAAAAAATAAAAAAAATACTAATAAACATTTTTATAACTCTTACTATGTGTCACACACTTTCTAAGCATTTTACATATACAGGCATATTTCCTTTTATTGCGCTTCACTTTATTGCCCTTCACAGATGTTGCATGTTTTATAAATTGAAGACAGAACCCTCCACCAGCAAAAGGATTATGGCTCACTTTATTGTGGTGGTCTGGAACTGAACCCTCAATATCTCCAAGGTATGCCTGTATTAACTTATTTACTCCTCATAACAACCTTATGAGGTGGATGCTGTTATCTTTATTATGTAGATCCAAGGTTAGCAACCCGTCAATCTGTTTTTGTATGACCCTTGAGCTAATAATCATTTTACATTTTTTAAACGGTTATTTAAAAAAAAAAAAAACAATAGATACTGTATTCAGCCCACAAAGTCTGAAGTTATTTACTGTGTGGTGTTTTACATAAAATCGTTGCCCACCCCTATTGTAGATGATGAAAGTGAGGCAGGGAAGGTTAAATAACTTCCATATGGTCATTCGGCAAGTAAACAAAGGACCCCAGGTTTTGAGTCCAGGTAATCTGGCTCCAGAATCTTTTCTTAATCTCTAAAAGCTTCTCAAAAACTTAAGACTACTCTAAAATGGAATAGAACAAGTTGAAAGCACTTCTTTCTTAAACACATGAAAGATGAAACAATAGATACAAATGGCTGAAAAGTCATGCTCTTTGAAATCTTTTTTCCCCCAGTAAAAGTTTTGGCCTTCTGAAGTCTTTTTTTTACCTTTTCTTTAAATGGATGGCAACAGATGGGGCAGATTCTGAAACATCAGACATGTTAATTTAAAGTAAATCACCCACAGATTATCCCCAAGCATCTGGCTTGGGCTTCAGATTAATGATTTTTTTACCAATATTTTGAGGTAAATGATAACCATAGTGTTGATAGTCTTGAAATGTATGTGGTAAAATGTGGAAGCATCATTCAATTTGTGCATATTCGTTTTAACTTAAGTAACCACAATTAGCTAAAAATACTTTCTTAATTACAAACATTTCATGGTTATATCTTAATGTTCTAAATTTTTTCCATTCGACTGGAGGAATAGCATGTATCCATAAAGGACTAGGCCCAGGAATCAATCAATCAATCAATCACTCTTTTCTCAGAAAAGTTTATAAGTCCAAATATTTCATAATATATCAATGTTATAGTAAAATATTACTAAACTAGATTTATTCTTCCTTCAGTTAACTGTAATCACTAGGATTTGAGTTAAAACCAATTTCATATTCAAGCTCTATCTTCTTAGGTGCAGTGCAGTGTCTGTATGTGATGGTGTCAGGATGCACCATCCTAAGGTCAAAAGCAGCTCACACTTCACTCACTTTAGTGATCACTAACTTTTCGCCCAGGGCTTTTTTGGGCAGATTTATAGATATATCTTGCAAGTATGTTATTCTTAACTATATTTTAGGTTTTATTTTGTTCTTTGTTTTGTAACTCTTAAATGTGATACATCAGTTCTTCATCAGCTTTTACCCTTTCTGGGAACTTTATTCTCTATAGTTTCTAATGCATTTTTTTAGACCCTGGATGATTAGTATCTTAAGTACTGTCTGCTAATTAGTGAGTTTAATTTATAGTTTCACAAAATATTATCCTTTTTCACATTATAAAACCACAATACTGTCAATAATTTCATTTTATTTATACATCACAGGACAAGATTTTTAAAGAACAAATAAAAAGATTTCCAAGACCTTATATCAATACATAATATCAATACAATCTTATTAATGTTAAAATTTGTTCTTTCTAATATGACACATAAAAAACACAGCAGTATTTTTTAAATGTTAATTATCTGTTTGTTGATTAAAAGGGAATGTCAGTCTTTAATAGGCAAGAGGCAGTATCGTTCTGCTTATTATATCCCCTTATAACGAGTATTCAGTACTTATCATAGAGCTCATCTATGTGGGAAATGGGAATAAACTTAAGAAATAGACTATCGTTCTTTCTGGAAAGAGATCAGGAGGAGCCTGAGGCGTCTACTCCATACAAAATGGGTAGCTTCTTAGTCTTTCTACGGATAGGGCTTGCCCTACAGTGGAATAGCATTCAAGCAGAAACTATGTTTAGGAAGCCTACAATTATATTTCCTTTTAATATAACCTCAGAATTACTAGCACCACAGAGAAGATCTTATTAACTTTAAAGCTTATACAGTACTCTGTATTTAACTTAATTAAATCCTCACTTTTATGAGATTTATTTATCTAATGCATTTTACTTCCCAGAAGCAAAGTGAAAAAGAATATCTGCATCCTAGATAACTTCATAACAAAATGAAACACCA